AGTTGCACTTTATTAAACTAAAATTTAATTGGGTACAAAACTGCATACTCAACAACAATTCTAAAAAAATCAGATCAAAAAGCTAAACATTTTAATGAATAATTTGTATGAAGTCTGATTTATATGGTTTTGGTTAAAGCATGAACCATATTTTTATGAGATATATAACAAAAAAATATAAACTTAAAAATTCTTGCACATATTTAATAAAAATCATCACTGCTTCCCACTGTAGCTTATACTTATTTTTCATATCCATGCATTTTTGTAGGAAACAGGTATTATTTTTTGTAATTTCACTAAATTCACGCTTGTATCGTTTCCTTAAAAAAAACAACAAACTTAACAAAGAAATAATAAAACTAGGGCTGTGCGATTATTCGATTACTCGAGCAAGTTGGTTAATCAATTATTCGGTTAATCAATTACTCGAGTAATCAAGATTTTGATTACTCAAAACGATGATTAATCGAGTTACTTGAAATATGATTACTCAAAAAAATAATTTTGCTCGTTAAAAGAGTTTGCTTTGGAAAATGCTTATTTTCTTTTTTACATTCTGTATATGAAAAAATTTTTTTGTTTTCATTTTTGAAAACAGAAACGTTGTTTTCAAGGTATCAAGGAACTTTAACTACTTTATACATATGTAAAGAGTTGAAATGTTGATTACTCATTTTACTCGAAATGTTGATTAATCATAAAGCAAATTACTCAAATATTTTTGTTTTTGGTTAATCAAAAATCTTGATTACTCGAGTAACTGAACTTTTGAGTAATCATAATTTCCAATTAATCGAATAATTGAGTTATTTACTTTATGATTAATTAAAATTTTGAGTAATCAATTAATCGCACAGCCCTAAATAAAACCCTTAAACAAAATTAAAGGAAGAATGATAGAAACATAACCATAGATCCTAGAAAATAAGGATGTTTATGGATGGCTTTGTTTATGGCTCCCTTAATGAAGTTACTGCCGCGCCCGAAAAATGGTTTTGGGGCTAGAGTGCACGGAGACTTCTATTAAATTAATAAAGAAAATACTGAAAATCGTGATTCAAGCGGTACAAATATTAAAAAGTCGTGTCACTTATGTATACGTGCCGGCTTTTAAAAAAATATTCAGCGGGACAACTTTCTCAAAATCGTTGCTGTCCCGCCAAACTCGGTATGAATGGTCACCGTATGTATAGGTGTCCAGCAAATTTTATTTTTGATGCAGAATTACATCTAGATGCTCTGGTAATATTTCTGCATCAAAAGGAAAATTTTTAAAAAATGTTGCTCATGTCTTTTTGGTTTGATATACATATGTATATATTTTTTTGCGCATATCTGACATTCACTTTACTGTTGCCGACTTTGTTATTAAGCTTATCAGTAGGCTGTTTTTTTTGCAAAGCACTTTTCTTATCACTCAAATTAGCTAAGTCTCCCGTAAACATTTGATTTTATGAACATAAATAAAACAATGCATTTAAGCGTATAAACTTGTGTGAAAAATTTATTCTAACTGCTGGTTTCACGAAAGTAATTTAAGTGAATAATTATTTGGCGGTTTGTTATTTATGGCCTTGTAACAATTATATTCAACAATTTTGGAGAGAACGACAAGTGTCACTGAAGATGGCACAACGCCGAAACCGGTTTTGTCTCCAAACCAATTTTGACAACGGATGATGGAAATTCGTTCCAAAATACATCTTTTTCATTGAGCTTGAAGCCGTTTCTTAAGGAAAACTATTGTGGAAAAATTAACAATAATTTATAAATGGTATAAGTGATAGCTATTTCGGAGATCACCTCCTTCTCCTCATCAGACTTCCCGCTGAAGAAGTCAACAGCGAAAATGGGAAAAAAAACTTTACAAAAAAATTTTACCGTTAGGAGTGGGGTCGATTTTTATTTATTTTTATCACCCCTAAAAGCTTGTCTTAAAATTTTTTTTTTTTAAATTACTTGTTTCTATAAGAAATATGAAGGTCAAGCTTACATATCTGTTATTAATAAAATTATTGTATTGTTTTACGCATACAGAATTTCACCTGAAATTGGAAATAAAATCCCTTTAATCAATTACATGTATAAATTTGTAAGGCCTTTTCCAACAAACTTATAAGTAATTTTACCTTAAATTTATGTACATATAACTTAGCTTCAAATTATTTCTCTATTAATAACATACAAAGTGAGCATGCAATATTCCGCAGTAATTGCTACTTTTAAGTACGTCAAGCGTTCATTTTGTTTAAATTTTCACACGGAATATTATAAATTATAAAAGGTTTTATGTACTATTAAAAAGAAAACCCAATATGTACAATAAGTGAATAAAACTCATTTGGAACTTATTAAAACTACATAGTGACTTTTTACGAGTATTTTATTTGCTTTTTAGAGATTTCATTAGCTGATTTTTCAATTAAATTAACTATTTCCTATTATTCGTTCATAGGTATGTATGTACTTATGTACGTATGCGTTTAAGTTGACTCCGTGGCGAATCAATAAATTTGCAAACTCATCAATCAGTAAAGTCAGCTGTTAATGTGCAATAAAAATGGCATTTAGCTATGTTGCGTTGGTATGTTCATTGCTTTTACGTGCACTTTTTTCCTGGGAAAATTAGTAGAATTCAGTTGTAAATAATAAAAAAAAAACGAAATAGCTTTATTTCATCGGCTCGCCTCCTTTAATGTTCTCAATTGCTTGGGTATTGACGATATCCGATCACCAGATGCTGATCTAGCTCACTAGCCGGCAACAAATTGTAATGTAACTTTTTTTGCACATATGCAAATAGTATACACATGCATATGGTAGATATTATAGGCGATTTCTTGTTTACTTTTTGCCGGAAATTTTGTATTCTATTAGCGCGCAATTGTTGCCATTTGTGTGCAATTATAATAGTAAAAGCTTTTGTTGATGCTTCTCTTATGTGTCCATACATACATATAAATACATAAGTAAACATTAATTTTTTAGGTAACGGTGTTAATATTACTCTCATGTGTTGTTTATTTAGATTCTGACGAACTTTGGTTCTAACGATTTCATTGAGACAAAACAAGATTCGTATCGCACGCATAGCAACCGAAACCTTAGTGCCGTTTTCTCAAATAGCTTTTAAAAGAATTTTGGCCTTATTCACAAAAAATAAAGTAGGTTTAAAGAGCTTTATAAAGTGACGTTCTCATAAATTTTTCAGTTTATAAACGTTTTTTAAAGCTACTTTATTTTTTTATGAATAAGGCCATTTGTGTTTAAAGAGCAGATAAATTTTAAAAGCTAATTTGATGGCTTTTTACCAGGGACTGCAAGTAATGATTATTTTTTTTTTTACATTACAACTCAAAAATGCTGTTCGCATAAGGAACAAACCGATATATTCGGTGCAACTTGGACTACCTTTAGCGAAACTGGCTTTTATTATTTAAGTTTTATTAAAAAAAAAAAAAAACAAATTTAATATCTAATTGTTTTCTGAGTTTTATTTTATTATAGTAGGCAATAGGAATAGTAATGGTAATGAATTTATTACTGGTAATGGTAATGATATGAGCAATGGTAATGAATATATTATTGATAATGGTAATGATAAAGGTAATCGTAATTGCAATTCGCTTTTTCTCATGCTTTTCGTTTTCGTTCGTGTTCCTCGTTTTCAGCTTCTTAATCGTCCCCTTTTCGTCTTCGGTTTCGTATTCGTCTCGGTCTACCCTTCGGTCGTGGTTTCCGTATTCCTCTTCGTATTCGTTTTCGTATCAAAAGTCTTCGTCGCCATTTTCGTATTCGTGTTCAGCTTCGTCTTAGTATTCGTCTTCGCGTTCGTTTTCGTGTTCGTGATCACATTCGCATGCGTGTTCGCTTTTGTGGCCGTCTAAGTATACATGTTCGTGTTCCTTGTACTTGTTGTTTTAGCGGCTACTTAGCACGGCCTAGATCGGCTTGCCTCTCAATCGTTGTCGTCAAGCTCAACTAAAGGGAGACTTAGGAAGCAGGGTGAATCTGGGTCTCGTCCGTTCAGATCGCCAATAATAAGTGAAATAAAAAGGTTCGACATGACAACTAGTCCTTTCCATCCGATTAAACAGTGCGACTCTGGATCTCGTTCTTTCAGATCGTCTGCCCGTAGAGAAACCTATAAGAGCCGGCTTGGAAACTAGCATTTTCCTACCACCCAGTGGTTGCGGCACTGGAAATGACACTCCTGGACCGCATATTCTACACGTGATATATTTTCGGTACTGCTTGGAATTTCGCCTATTTACACAGCATAGAGAATATGCTATTCTTAGTTAATTTTACATAAACCATTTTATAGCGTAGAAGAAAAATTATAAAAGATTAACTTATATTGAGCTGTAAACAGGTGTTGCCGACTAACGACTTGAGGACCTTGTTTCGGCTCTGTACTCTATTGACAATTGCGGTTGTATGCGCCGAGAAGGAAAGCAGACCATCGAAGGTAACATCGACGTGAACTCCCAGCTGTAGTCTGACCTCCTTTTCCAGGTGGTAAAGAGTTGCCAAGGATTTTGTAGGGGAGAGGGTAAGGTTCCCTGCAGTGAGCAAGCAAGAAAGTTCGGAGAGGTAACAGTTTTCTTTCGAACAGAGTTATCAATTCCACTCCAGCATAAGTGACAATCGAGACTCTTTCTGGTGGTTGCGGGAGTTTTAAAATATATCACAGCCTCATTGCGTAGGTCGTAAATTAGACTAAATTGTACGATTCGACAACATTGGCATTGTCTACTGTCCTGCTGAAATAATTAAACGACAAAATCGTCGAAAGCTATACAGTGCTGCCAAGTTTTTCCGTTTTAATACACTAGTCGAGTGGAAATTTTAAGCAATGACGTGAAATTTTCCATAAGATTCGAGTCTCGAAAAACGACAGCATTCGACACGACCCTCGCAATGAGGGCGTTAGTTAAACAGTAACGGGGACACCACCCTGTGGGACGCCCTATTTAGTTTTTCTTGGCTTGCTAGTTTTGTCACTAAAAATTACTGACGAATGCCGACCACTCAGATAATTCACTGACCACCGTTTGAGTCCCTGTGGAAGAGAGGAAGCCTCAATGTCTTCTGGTAGCGTGGACTGACGGTATCAAACGCCTTCGACAGATCTAACACTACTAGGAATGTTCTCTCAAAGGAGCGGTTATTTTGCTGTGTATTTTAGGAAACCCATGTTGAGTAGCAAGGCCTCAAGTGTCTTCGCTACCGGCGAAAGGGTATCGGACGATAAGACTCTCCCTTGTTGTCCGGTTTCACGGGTTTGAGCAGTGGGACCATTCTCTCCATTTTTCAGATATCCGGTGTAGAGGACCTTGGTAAGGTAGTTTAATCCTGCAGGACCCAATTTTTTCAGTATCAGGATGCATGTTCCGTCGGGTCCTATGGATTTGGAGGCTTTCGTCTTAACGTACTAGGTATGGCAGTTTGTGCAGCTATCTGGTAACTCGGCGTTTGACTTTGTCCGCCGGAGGATGCAGCGTAAACTATCGGCTAAAGTAGCTCTCGCATTGCTCCGGGTCCGAAGAAGCGCGGTCGCTGAAAGAGATTTCGGCTCTGTAACGCTCGTCTTGTTGGAAAGTGAGCTCACGGTTGACCAAAGCTTGCTCACACCAGAGTTGAAGTTGCAAGTCTTCAGATGCTCTACCCACTTCTTCCACTTATGTACGTTCATAAGCTGGTGTATCTCCGTATTGAGATCCCTATTGCGGGGGTTTCCGGGAACGGCCTGACGAAGGTTGTCGCGCTTATCAGCTAGAACAGCCGCTTCGCCAGGAAAACTCATCCGGCAGGAATGAAGCGGGCTGCAGCAGCAGCGACAACACTGCGGAACTTACGCTAACCTACGTTAACATTGGTTGGTGTGGGGAGGACAGAGGACCTACTCTCAGTAACTTACGCGAAGCCGTTCCAATCAGCTTTAGAGAAGTTGATATAGGTTCGGTGTTCCGCGAAAGCAAAGGCGGCAGGTTTATCAATCGAGATGACTATGGGCAGATGGTCTGATGCTTAGATCAGCATAGGTCGCCACGTTATGCGGTTTATCAGACCAGCGCTTGCGATTGTTATGTCGGGCGAACTGCATCGAACTGATGCCCATAATCCTGGTGGGTGCGTTGTCGTTCATTTTGCAGAATGGCGAATCGCGTATTGGCTTAGCCAATAGAGTTGCCCTACGATCATTCCATGCCAAAGATCGGTGTACGCGTTAAAGTCACCGATTACCATTTGGTTTTCACCTTTGAAGAGCGCACCTATTTCAGGGGGTATATAAACGTTAAATATTTCGAGCTCGACAACGCCTGACCTGATAGTAATACCCTGACATCATAGGATGGTATCCCTGCGGTCGATGCCTGCTTCTATGAGACGATACTGCGCGGTGTGATGCGTAATGAACGCTAGGCCACCACCATTATCTCGCTCGCGATCTCGACGGTAAACATTGTATCCGTCGTATTTCAGCAACTGGTCCAGGAGAGAGATGTAGAGTAGTTTAATGACCAAACTCTACACTTTATTCAGCAAGCAGTGCCAGCTTTGTTGTTCATCGGGAAGACGTTTCTACCAACTTTACGTAAGCTAAACAAATTTTTGACTCGAAAGTGTACAGACAGGCATTGTGTTCATTCACCAAGAGACTGTTGATGAAGTTCAAAGCCTGTTAATGCGTAGACAGAGTTGCAGTTACCATCTGCAGCAAAATCTTGTCACTGCGTTACAAATTCTGCTCATGTAGTGTTTTTTGGCATTGCTAGTTTTCGGAACGGTTTACGATTTTTTGGACGGTATTTGACATTGCTAGTTTTTTAAGGTTTTTTAATAGTTACTATTTTTCGGGATCATTTCGTCGGTTGTAATGTGGATTTCGCTAACTATTGGAAGTGGCCGGAATTCTCATGGATTTTTTTTCGCAGTTTTCGGAATGCTCCTGTTCTTCCTTAAGCTGTTTCGGAATTTATCTTAACTTTTAATTTCTTTCGGAATTTTCGGTGCTTCATGTTTTTTCTTTCGAGTTGTTTTCATTAATATTTCCGTACCTTACGAATTTTTTCGATATTCTTCGCAGTTTAGGGATTTTTGGGGATCTTTCTGGACTTTTCGAAATCTTCCCGGGTTTCTTGTTGTTTTATATTTCGGGATCTTTCGGTATCTTTCAGCGCATGCGGATATTATTTGACACTGCTAGTTTTTCGGAGCTTTACAGCCTGATTCTCTATATCGAACGAACAGCCAGACGAACAACGATTCGTGTCCAAACGAAATCGTCTGAATTCGGAAGTCTCTATCTCAAATGATAATTTTCGTCCATCCTTACGTTATTACGTTATTCGCCCGAAAAGATCTGTCAAAATTGTTTTGTTTACTTTATGTGTATTAAAGTTCAAAAATACAATATTTTAATAGAGTTATTTAAAAATGTATCAAGCAATAGCATTTCTTGCAAGCGAACGTTCGGACCAACACGAATTGCGGATTCAGAGGCCACCAACTGTGGCATGCATGTTGGACGCATTTTCCGCAATTTTCTTCTTTGTGCGGCTTTTAAGATCAGCCCAAATCTGGAAAAACATTACAAGCTCAATTTTTGATACAATTTACTATTTATAAAAAGGAGTTACCTTTTTCCATTCGGTAGCTGTTCTTTGTGGACGTCCATGTGCGTTTAATTTATTGGCTAATTCATTCCACTGTAGTTTCTACCAGGCTCTTACTCGCACCAAACATTGGGGCGCCTCTTGCCAAGTCGGGATTTTTTCTCCAGCTCTTTTACCAGCACATCGAACTGAGCACTGGAAGTTTTTGAAGCACTGTAAAATATACTAAACAATTAATTATAATAATACGAATGTTTTTTCGATTATTTCTTGCCTTTTTGGCTTGAGATATCCATTTTAGCGGCTCACACGATAGCAAAAATTCTTTCGTTTGAATTTGACACTTTATTTCTTTATTTGAAGTCGTATTCGTGTTACGTTTTCGTCACATAACAATCAGCTGTTATTGACTAGTTATCGCCAGGGTAACGAATTCGTGTTAAGTAGTACAAATACACGAACAAACGGGTGTTTGGACGAGACGAACGCTCGTTTCGAGATAGAGAATCAGGCTGTTAGAATATAAAATTTTTTTCCCTAAGATTTTTCGGAACTTTTCGCATTTTACTTTTCGAAATATTTTATCATTGGTTTTTTCGGTATACTTCGGAGTTTTTCGATATTATTCGGTGTTTTCGGAATTTATCGTGTTTTATCTTACGAAGTTGAATACATACATACGTTACATCCTAGAATCCTACTGAGCAATAATAATAATTAATATATAATTTTTATAACAGAAAGATGTTGTGAAATATGTTAGACAAAGACTAGCATTTATTAGCAAACTAATGTTTTGTAATCGCATGGCTTGCATAGATAGGTGTAAGATGTACATACAGTATCGGTCATATCTATAGCATGCCATTTCAAAGTGATATTGTGTGCCACTTATGTTTATTCATTTATTTTTAAGAATTTTCAATTAAAATACAGTTCATTCTCAGACAAACCCCATACAAACCCATGTGTAACAATTTGTAGAAAACTACAAAAATGCCCAACAAATTTTCACCTAAATTTCAAACTTTTTTCTCGGAAGTGTTAGAATTTTTTTGAGTACACAGTTTTTTCGTAATTCGTAGCCATTTCAAATTTGCACATTATTAGACTAAAATTGAAGGGGCTAAAAAACTGTGTACTCAAAAAAATTCTAACACTTCCGAGAAAAAAGTTTGAAATTTATGTGAAAATTTGTTGCACTTTTTTGTAGTTTTCTACAAATTATTAACCTTGGGTTTGTATCGGGTTTGTCTGAGAATGAACTATATTTTAATTGAAAATTCTTAAAAGTCAATAAATCAACATAAGTGACACACAATATCACTTTGAAATGGCGTGCTATAGATATGACCGATACTGTATGTATGCATGCACGTAACTATCTAAATTTGTAAATACATATTTTAATTACGAATTTCTATGAATTTATTTGTTGAATTTTCAGTTTAATAGCTCAAGATATGTAGGTAAGTTTGTGCACATTTTTCTTTGTGAATACATATATGTATGTGTGTGTGTGAATAAGAATATGCAACGTGACTGAATGATTTTCATAAGAATTCATACAAATTATATAAATTAAGGAGCACTTTTAATGAAAATTAATGCACATTTGAAACTAACCATCCATTTGGCATCAATCAACTAAAAATTCCCACAAGCTTATGAAACACATATTATCAAATCGGACCAATTTTACAGTAATAAAAAGATAAGTTTTTCGCCAAATACGCGCTTGCCATTATAAATATGCAGTTTTATTAATAAATTATGATAATTGTTATTTTACGTATATTTTTTTTTATAGATTTGGGATACAGCTGGTCAGGAGCGTTTTCGCGCGCTACGCACACCTTTCTATCGCGGCTCTGACGTCTGCATGCTGTGCTATGCCATCGATGATCGTGATAGTTTTCGCGGGCTGAAGCAATGGCGTAGTGAGTTTCTCAACTATGCCGATGTTAAAGCGGACAAGTTTCCCTTCATTGTCGTGGGTAATAAGGTAGGGAAATGTCGTATTAAAAAAAATAATAATAATTTTTAATTATATTTACATGGCAACGCATGCAGCTGGACATGGCACCCAAATATCGTCAAGTTAACTACGAAGAGGTGGAGCAATGGTGCAACGACAATGGCATTACTAGCCTCATCGAAACATCATCGAAGGCTGCCAGCAATGTAACCGATGCTTTTGTTTTGGCCGTGCGTCAGTGGAAACATATGGAGCGTGTAGCTGAAACTGAACTACGTCAACATAGCGATACTATCGATCTAACACGTAGCATACGTTTGGCGCAAAATCGTTTTTGTTGCACTGGCGGTGGCAATGGTGGTAGCTCAACATCAGTTGAAGCTGAATTAGAAGATGAGTCTATGCGTGGTGAGAATAGTGGCAGCCGTCCATCGCCGCTACGTTTCGTGAAACGGTCCATGGGCGCAAATAGGCAGCCGCAGGCAAGGAATTTTCAGCTTTAAATCGCTTTTATTTGGGATGCATTGCGTTGCAGGTTTTTTTTTTTTTAATATTTTTGCAATGAACTAATTCAGCTGGTTTGAAATCTATAAAAAAGAAGAAAGAAATGAATAACAATGTATCTGTTAGACTACACCAAAGGCAGCTAAATATTGTTGTTCGAGAGACGGAAGCGTATGAAACAAAAGGCGATGTTTAACTTCATGTGTAATTCTAAGAAAGCAAGTTTATTTTATAAGTAATTAAGGGTGAAAAGTAACGCAAAAATGCTCAGTTTATTTTATGCGCCCGATGTGCGCTAAATGAACAATTCCAATCGAAAAAATCATATATTACTCATACAACATGTTGTACACTATTATAGTAATGTACATTTACATGAGTACATACATACAATGGCTACGTATGTATTTGTGTAAAGCAGTTATAAAATTCCATGTAACTTTATATGTAATTATATTTAGCTTAGTTTAAATATTTTGCAATGCAGCAGCCGAATTGAGTATTATATACAATAGATTATTGATTTGTTTATTTAATTTTTTGTTTTTCGTTATGATGAACACATAGCAAAATCGGGTTAATCTAAACGCACAATAATTTAACGCGGAATCTATATTAAGAAAAATTTTGCATTCTCGAAATCAGGACATTAACCCCAGTTAGTTTAAGTTGCAAACAAATGATGAGTATGTAAATAACATTGTGGAACAATTTGAGGGCTCTTATTTATACCCAATTTCGATTAAACTCTCTACAGCGCTCTTATTAATCCGTAGAAGGTTTAACTCTTCGACGACCCCTTATAAATTTATAGGCTTAACATTTTTGTAGAACACTTTAAACGCCTAAGTTTGGTTTTTATTCGCGTTTTTTTGAAATTTGAATTTGGTTGGCTGGCAAGAAAGTTCACAAAACAAATTTATTGAAAGCGATTTCGAATCGCTTAGAAAATAGTCTCGTGTAAATGCTGCTTTAGAAATTCGAATTCTATATGTTCATTATATAGATGAATGGTTGTTCGACAAAACTGTTTCGCGTCTGTTAATCTTCAGCCACATTTTCTGGAGGCAAAATCACCATGGAACCAAACGATTATGATCTTAATAATAAAAATCATAATTTAACCATTACGTTATGGTTTTTATTTTTTTAATAAAGAGCCCCATATGAAAATGTTGTAGTAATAGTAATATGATAGTATTTTAGCGCAGACCTTCTTTTTGCGTAGACTGGGTACGGCCGCGCTCATCGGATTATAACCCTCACTAAGTAGAATTCTCATTTCCGTGTCGCCGAAGAAGAAAGTATTTTTGTGCAGAACTTCGTTTAGCAGGTATTTTATGGAAGGGGCACAAGAGCGAATTGTGGCCCCTGCTCATGGGACCTTAACTCGAGAACCAAACCCAGTGAATACATATTTCCTATGAAAAGGTTTATATTTTTAATTCTTACTGGGTTATATCCTATTTGCTTTTGTCTCTTATCTTTCTTGCACATTTTGGATTTTGACAGCTGAGCTCGGCCATTTAATTTGCATATGCAACCAAAGGCGCAAGCGTGATTTTCATGGCGTTTTTATTTAACCCTCTTAGTACAAAAAATCAGCCGCTGAAGCTAAAAATCCGAATATTTGTTTACCGGCTAATTTTGGGTCATTGATTTTAAAAATGCAATCAAATTTTTTTTTAACTCTAGTTTTACCGTTATTCAGCGTCCAGTATATTGGACAATGGCACTCTAAATTTGTAAACAGGGAAGTGATATCAATAATTTTTCTTTTTTACTTAAGCGAAATATATTTCAAAATTGAGAATAACATTTAACATTTTTTTCGGATCTCAATTTTATCAAAAAAATAGTTGTTCATATACATACATATATATATCGATTTTTGTGATACTTTTCAATTTGTGAAAACCACGGTCAAGTACATCCCGAAAATACAGTAAAATAAATGCGGTAAATAAGAATAATATACTTTTCTCAAACCAACTGTTATTTTAAAAACAAAAGCTCTTATTTAAGAAAAAAAAAACTTTATGTCCCAGGGACGTGAACCGGATGAAAAATTTGGTCGGTTCGGTTCAGCGGTTCGAACCGTTTTTGCACTTTTGGATTGGTTCATCAAAGCGGTTTTTTGGTGTTTGAAGAATAGGAAAATAGGAGTGATTAATGTACGCAAATCTCGGAACTTTACAAAAAAGTGCATATATCAAACCGAATTTCTAAAAAAATTAGTTGCCGAAAATTACAAAAGTAGATGTTAAAATAAAGTGTAGACCCTTGACGACAAGTGTGTGGATCGGGTCACTCCTTTGGACGCAATAGCCCGAAATCGTTGGGCACAAAACTAAACGGTACCCAAATGTTGTTCGTCAGTAGCTGCTTAACCAACCCCCACTAAACTCGGACAATAACCACGCAATTTTTTCGTCAACAAAACCCTCATAATAACGCCTTTCTACAAAAATACTGTGGTCAGCGTAGCTGGAGTTGGACTATTTTTTTACGAAAAATACCGACGTCGACGGCGACAACCATAATAGGACCGAATAATTTATTAACGGATGGTTTTAAAAAAGCCTTAGAAATCTCGATCTTCCTTCGTTCTGGGTTCTTCTTATTGGTAGTCAGCTGACCAAAAGATGTAAAAAATTGCTTAAATTCGCAAAATAGTTAGATAGGGCTAAAAATGTGTGCCTCCATACTAACTCTAAGCAAGACTAACAAACATTTTTGGTTTATGGGAGCAATCCCTTGAGATCTTAGCCAAAGTCGCTTACTCTAACTTAATCGAGCTCAGTAGTTTTTACCGGTTAATTTTTTATTTTATTATTTTTCTTTTTTGCTAAAGGATAAGGTTTTTTGTTGCTTAATTTTGACTTAACTTATTTCCAAAGACAATACATACATACATTCTTTAAACTAAGCATACTTTGCTACAAACTTGTTAGTATAATTTAATGCAACAATGATATTCCCGGTGAAATTAAACCAAATATTAACTTTTAAGCTTAGCACAATTATTTTAAGAGTTGATTAACTGCTTTTTCTTTAGTAAAGTGCCTCAGTAAGGCTTATTTATCTGAAAAAAAAAATAGATTTTTGTACTTTTTAACCAAATAATTCATAACTATGTATGTAAGTAAATAAAAATTAATTAACTAATCTTCACAGAAATCTATCTTACTTGAAAATCTAAAACCAGTTGTGCCTTGCTGCAATTTAAGTTTTAAACTTAATTATTGAAGTACGCAAAAATAATTGATCGGATAAATTAAATTATGTACACTTTTCTTTCATTCCAAAAACCAGTTTTCTTATCTACAATTATTAAGCAGGAGTATTTTTTACTTAGATATAAGAAATATCGAAGAAAATGTATCGATTATTTACAATAATAACGCATCTATGCTCGTATTTATACCAAAATATGTTTAATTTGTTTTATTTTGATTTTTTTTTGCAATTTAAGTTGTGCTATTTCAAAATATCTTACTAACTATATATGTATGTATGTTTATGTGTAAAATATAAAAGCCAATATATGGATGTCATACCAATATGTGAGTGCAGAAGAAATATATGTATCTACTACTAAATTGAGTTTCATTCGGAAGAAAGTAGGAAAGCTCATATCAAAAGAAAGTTAAAGGCCACATCTGTCTTTCAACTCACTTCAGTCTTTCAAAAGGCAGAAGTCTTTCGTAAGATAATTGTCAATTCTGGCAATTATCTTGAATGCCCTTAGAAATACTAATTGAAAGATCTGTTAACAAGGAGGTCTGAGCGTTATTCTGCTTGTCTTTAAGCAATAAGTTTTCTAAATTTTAAATAAAAGAAAATTGCTAAATGTTTGAATCATGCTCATAGTGAAATAAACTTCCACATAACGCAGTTTCTTACAGTCCACGGCTGCTACCGTAAATTTCAACACCGCTTTGACCTAAATACCGTAGGTGTTCAGAGGTGGAAGATGGGAACCACGTTTTTTGCCCACGTTTTGACGGAATCAGATCCAGACAACCAAGTTGAGCTCAAAATCTGCTTTAAATGCACTATGGAGATGCACCAGCAGCTAAGACGAGAAGAGACTCGTTCCCACGACAGTCGGGTCTACGTAACCGGAACGACCCAGATTTATATCTGGCCAAGGACTGTCACTCCAGCAACACTCCCCAAAAAGTCTTTGGGGAATTTGTATGCTGCTACAACAACAACAACAACAACGAGAAGAGACTAGTCGAAGAGGACGTGGAAGAAGGTAAGAGGCGTAGGCGAACGTTACAATAACGGCAGTGCATAAACGGACACCGTATAAGGTTTTTTTTTTTTTTTTTTTAACAATGCAAAGTACTGTTCCAAATCGATGCCACTTTTCAACACTTAAAGCACCGCCCGAAGTAATACCAGACCGCAATACCAGAGGAGTGGTATTAGGACGGTATGAGGTTTAGTTCGGGTTTAAGTCCCACACTGACGGGCTCGGAGTTTGGAATTCAATGCTTCATCTGAGCATCCAGAACTGAACTTATTAAGCCAATCAGGCTGGTTCTGCAATTCACTTCCGAGTGAATTTCAACCCCTGTCAATTTGAATTCAAAGCAAATTAGGTTGAAACTCACTCGGAAGTGAAATGCAGAACCTGCCTGTATATAGTATTTGTACCGCATGCTCTGTGACAAAACTGTGGCGAAAAAGTGCAGCAGTGCAGGGTAAACACGGATTTGCCACAGGATGGTGTTCTCTTAATTCGTTTTGGATTATGGACGTAAACCCGCTGAAAGATCTGGCGAGTAGACCGCTAACAGTGCGCTCTTAGCTAGCAGGGAAGGGCCTGACGCCCTGAGTGATGTTGCAGAAAACTGCGCTGCGGATGGGTTGCCCACGAGACGTTGTATATTGGTTTATCGGAATGCAGTCATCAAAAATCTGTTTGCTAGGAAATTGGACGAAGTACAGAGACCAGCCAACAGGAGTGATGTGAACTTCGAATTGGATTCAATCGACATGAGTTTTTAAGAGACTTACTTTATGTAATTTTTCCTTTTTTAACTTAAGGTTTTTTTTTTTTAATTTAATTTTCTTTGTTACCAAAAAATAGCACCACTTCTTGTAGCCGCTATTCTAAGTCCCTTGGTAGCATTTTAATCTATTCAGTTATTCAGCTATGAAATTTTTCATAAATTCTTCATACTTCATTCTTCACGGGGCAATATTTTGTTACCTGCTTATGAAGTGGTAACAAAATTTACTAGTGCGCAGAATGCCAAAAGGGTTGAAAAATTACCAGCTACTTTATTTACCGGCAACAAAATTTTTGTTACCAACGCAGAATAGGCCTGTAAATGTGTGACTTTCTTTTTGCGCATAATAAAAGTTTAATGCGCTTACATGACAGCAGAGTCCACAGATACAGCTAACTGCAGAAATGTAAAGTGCGTTTGACTATTGAGAAATTGTTCTCCGAGTCGTCCTCTACCGTGGGAAAAAGCTATATATAGTGCCAAATCAAATCAATTAATTTATCAAATATTATTTATTAAGGTTTTCCTATACAAATTATTTTAAAAATAAATTTATTATTCTATTGCTTATGCTTTATAAACTCAGCGACAAACTGAATTTCACAATCCCACCAAACCTTAAAATAAGTTCTCTTTTTAATTTTTATTAAATATAGAAATTTCGTTTTTATTTAAAATTTCATTAAAAAGATATTCCCAATCTAAACAAAAAGTTTAAGGACTAATATAAAAATAAATACGTAAGTACGTGACTAAGTACAAACATACATATTTCAACTTCTTTATTTGAGCTGCTTTTTCCTGTATTTCAAGGCCTTTTTTACGAATGCAAATTTATGTTATGGCCCATAACTTAATTTCACTAAATATGAAATTATTTTCCAATTTATAGTTACATACATATGTATGTGTATCACGTAAGTAACGTAGTATGTTTCTTCTCAGTGGTGCTGTTTTGTAATTCTTTTTATACCGCATACTTATATTAAAAAATTGGTAACATTTCAATAAAAAAAAAAAATATACAAAATTATCTTTACAACTTCAAGTTAAGCCAAAAGGAGTTTTAACTACATAAATACATATTAACAATTCTGCTGCCGTTATATTTTCTTCTTTCCCTCCGCATTCACTCACTTCTTGTACCCATATGAATTTATCGCTACATACTCCTTGTCGCACAGCAACAACAACTCATACCATTGACCACCATCGATGCGCTGTAACTCCAAGTCGCCACCATAGTTGGCTGGCAAGCATTTCGGCGAGATGTGTTTGTGCAACGATTCACGATCGGTGCCGTGGAAATAGATACGCGAACGTAATTTCTCACGTAGGAAAGGCTTGAAGAGCGCAAAGACTACATTGAAAATCTTCGGTTGATTCACGATGTGTATGGCCTTGACTCGCAGTGGCACTGAATCTTGCAGCCAGTCGACAATACGTTTAGCGAATGGTGGCGTAAATTGCCATGTTTGTTGTAAACTCAGACCGTCCATGTCGAATATAACAATGGCGCCACAGATTTGCGTTTCTGGTTCCAACATAGCCGCCTCAAGGAAGAGGACGGCACCTTTGAAGACCTCATCGAGCGTGACTTCCTTGTGCTTCCAACGTTCTGAAGGGGTTGAGGAGTAATATTAAAATATGTTTACAGAAAACTGTAACTAAGAGTAGGTATCTATCTGTACTTACTGCCCAACTCGAGCAACAAAATGCGACGTCCACATTGATCGCGATTCGGAAAGACTGTAAGTATGTTGTGTTTGAAAATGTTGGCTTCTCTACTGGGCACCAGACCATCGTAGACATTTGCGTGCTTCAGCTTAAAGGCGTAGTAGCGTTTGATCTGGAAAGGCATTTTTTTTTTATAAATTTAATTTTTTTTTTTTTGTAATTTAGGTTGCAATAAATTTTGAGAAAATTTTTATTTCTATTGTCAATTTTCCACTAGTCATTGAAATGACAAAAAAAATATTTACCGTTTCAAAATTTTCTTGCGGAAACAAAGTTATGCCACATTTCCACGATGCTTTGAAATTACGAAAGTCTGAATGAAGGACCGTTTTCTCAAGTAGGTTTTGGAATTTATCTGCCCTTTAACCACAAATTTTGTTCTGAAAAAATGTGTTCGAAGGGCAGATAAGTTTTAAAAGCTACATGAGAAAACAGCACTAAGTCTGTTTCCACATTCCATTTGCTTAATATGTAGTAAAAATTTGTCGCAATTTTAGTAATTTTAATATCGAGTAGAAATTCGGCATTATACCGCATTTCTACTAAGCATTGAATGGAAAGAAATTTATTGACAAAGTTTGGCATTAAATAATAACGTTAAATATAATAACCATTGAATTTGTTTCCACGTAAATTTTTTTTTTTAATTGGCCCAAAATTTTTTCTTTTCATTTTCGCATTGAAAGGAAATTTTGCTGGATATCTTACACTAGTCATTGAAATGACAAAAAACGTGGGTCATTAAAAAATATCATGTGGAAATGAACTTTTATTACTTAATAAGTATTTATTTTTGAGGTGGGTATTTTTAATGCCCAGTGAATATTCGGCATTAGGCATTAAATGAAAAATATTTATATATCCCAGCAAACACAGTCTCTAACGTTAGAGAAATTTGGATTTCTACATTAGATAACTAGGGTAATTCTCTAATCGTTCCCGAGTCGATGACGAAGTTAGTGAACTACATTAGAATTCTATTCGAGAATGATTAGAGAAACAACGCAAATTCAAATAAATGTAAATAAGAAATATTCCAAATTAATTAATCATAAATTATTTTTAACTTCAAATAATTGAATATTATTTTATTGCAAATACATTTAGTACAAATTTTACAAATAACGCGCTTTATTTAATAAAGCTAAACAGCAGTTGGAAATTCGCATTCGAATCCCATTAATATTTTCTCGAGTAGGGAACTATGTTCCATTTTTGTTGAGATCGCTATGTTTCTCGATAGTTTTTCGAGTACTCTAACGTTTGAGATTGGAGAATGTGGCTAGTTCTCTAATCATTCTCTAATCGATAACTAACCGCAATGTTTTCTGAGATATAATCGACATTAAAATACATGGCGCAGTAAACAGCTGAAGTAATAAAACAACTGTCTCGCTTTATTTCCTGACATTAGACTGCCTTGTGCAAAATTTTAGAGGAGGTTTTTGTTTAATTTGCAAAGAATTAGTGGTTATTCTGCAGTAGTGGCTATTAATATTAACTTAATGACACGGGCACTATTTTGTACACAATTTCGTCATTGTGTCACTTAAATACTCTGTGGAAATGTGTGGCTTATTTCAATCGCCATCAGCGCTGACAATAGCCCGATGTTCTATCGTAAGTGAACCCTTAGTGCCTTTTTTTATTTAACACTAATTTACTTACCAAATCGCGCGCACTTTCTGGATAGAATTTGCAGGGGCGTAAAAAGCGTACCAACCATTCCTCGTTGTCCTTAGGGTAGCGTAGGTCTGTCTCAGCTGAAAAAAAGAGAAAAACAGACGTATAATATTTAGTGTTTCCCTTTTCAAATAGTAAATTAAACCATTTAAGAAGGTTACTGGAATTTTACTATATCCGAAAAACTGAAATGGCGAGGGTTTTACGAGGTTTACTGGGAGTCGCTGAGGGTGAGTGGTTCGAGATGCATGCAGCATCCAAAAATTAGAAAGTTGTAACTGCACGTCTATACCTGCTATGGGCGCTCGCATACGAAACATCGTATGAGATATATCGCAGTTGTAGACCGCATACGATACGATATAAAGTAAGATAGTATATCTCATACCATTTATCGCATACCTAACTATGGGTTTAGCAACTATTTTTTTCATATTTGCTTTGATTCCAAGTAACAAAGAAATGGTTTTATTCGGAGAAACGTTGTAAAGACATAACCAAGCAAAAAAATAAAATTTTCGCAACATTTATAAAAAACTTACAACAAATTCGCACTGAAATGGTATGCGATCAAATGCCCACGTACAAAAATTTCTAAGCGATAGTCCGTATGCCAGCGTCCATAGCAGGTATAGACGTGTAGTAATAAAACAAATTGAGGGATTCAGGGACTGTAATAAACCTACGTGCATTCGGGTTGTATTAAACCCTACCTACCACCTGCACCTTACGTTTCAGGTGTATTTGAGTGCTTTTACTGTCGCACCATTTAATATAACGATTTCATTTTATTTATTATTTATATAGAGTTACTAAAATTACTTATAAAAGCTTCATACACTTCATAAGCTACGCTAAGTCACAAGATTTGTTACGAGTCATAAAGTTCACTATGCTTACTACGTACACGTGTACGTATTTATGTAGTGCCTACGGCTACGATTGAAAAAGCTGTACCTGTCGCGTTTTTATGCAAAAAAGAATAACAAAATTTAAAAAAAATGTTAACGAAAATTGCTTCTAAAATTATAGCTTCTTAAAAGATGCTTGTGTGTAGATGTGAATCGGTCAGTGTTCGCAAATTCAATGTTAACCGTGTACTGATTCAGTCATCAAAAGAATCATGGTCGAAATGGTGCGTATTTTTTATCAAAACAGAAAAAATACTTTAGCTTAACTGGCAAAAAAAAAATATATATATTTAACCTACACCTAGTTACAGCGGTAGAGGAAGAACCTTAATATTACAAACGTACATAATGTACATTAATGTACGTAGATAACTTCCCCAATGTTAAAGCATGAAATTAAAAATAAAATTATGCTTCTAGTGCAAAATTTTTTACTCAAAAATTGAACTGAAGCAATATGCATACACCCTGCTGTCTCAATTGAAAATATGTTGAGATAGGCCGTTTTTGTACGGAGTTCTAAAATAAGGCTTTCTTTAATCAATTTCTGAGAAAGGTCGTTTTTGAAACAAATTCGTATATTTGGCGTTCTTTAACCATTTGCTGAGATAGGACGAACTTCCACTCAGCCGAAGATATGAATGTATGTAGTAAATTTGTTTGCACTCTACTAAATTGAAACATTTTTTTATATTAACTTTTGATTTTTTTTTGTACTTGCATGTATGTATACCTTATACATTAGGATGGTCCAAAAATACATGCAAGGGGAAAAAGTTTAAAATGTTAAGCTCTCACCCCTTTGGAGTTCTCTAAATGGAAAGAAACAAAACCCAAATTTTTTTGTTAAAAAAAAAACTGTAGATATTTAGAACTTCCTCAAATCCCATGAAGTTTTCCATGTATTTCATTTTTCGTAGAAATGGTATGGGATTGTTGAAAATAAATTTTGTTCGATCTGGAAACTCTGTTTCGCTTTAGAAGACTTCCAACAATAATACCCACTTGTTTATTTTACCATTTTTTAATACTAACTATATTTTTTTGTAGATCACCAAAAAATGCAATGGGGGACCAAAAAAAAAAAGATTAAAATAAAAAAGAACGAGCGGGGCGATCGACCGCCCCCCCCCCCCCCTGTATCCGCCGCTGGTTAAAATATAGGTTTGGCTTCAACTGCTCGGAGAAATTCCTTTCAAGGCCATTTTAATAGAACAGATTGGTCATTAACTGCTTTAACCATTCTGTGTTCTCAGTTAGTCCTCTTCGAGAGCCATAATTACTGAGTGAATACACTCTAAACGTAGTGAGAACTAGGGGCAGTAGGTGGCTACCATTTGGTGCAATTAAGCGGTGAATACTATACTCGAAATTATGGTGATGAACCCGAGTGACCTTAAGTCCATTAAAAACCCGGTAAAGCTTGTCAACTTGTCTAAAAGTCCATGCATATGCATGTCAGTTAGAATTTTCATGAAGCACTACATTGTGTTAATATCGTATGTCAAAGTTTAGTTTGCATGTCAGCTTTCCACGATAATTCAATCCTTGCTATTAATTAATTACTTTTGAAAAGACAAACATGCTGACAATATAATGACAATGCTAAGATTTTTATGCAAGTACATTAATTATTGCATTTACTTATCAAATGTGAGAAAAATTTGCTAAGTATTTATTTGAGTTTCTTAAAGAAAAAAGTTCGCAAGTTCAATGTTGAAAAATGTGTGATTGACGTAGGTATGTAGGTACGAATAGATTCAAAAGTTCATGCTCTTAACGTGAGCATGCAAATATTTATTTTCAATTTACAATTTGCATAGTAGCAACAACTGGTAATAAAAACTAATAACTAACCTGTTAGAATTTTATAGAATTAGATGTATGTACAGTGGCGAGCATTTAAATAGGGAATTCAATATTGATAAATAAATTTTCTGAAAAAATATGTTTGAACGCATTTATTTATGGAGTTTTGAAGAACATATTAAATGTTGCGGATAATACAAATATTTAACACTAACAACAGAAAATAATTCAAGTTTTCCTTAAATTAAGTTTTACATATTCTTTTTGCAATGGTGGAATATGCGAGCACAAAAATAGGGAAATCATTTTTTGTTGATTTTCTTTTAACAAAACTACATTCAAATAACTTTGTTGTTAATATTTGGTGACTCCTCCTTTCTTTCGTATAACTTCTGCACAACGTCTGGTCATAGAACTTATTAAGGATATGCACCGCGCAACAGGAACACTCTTCCAGGATTCTTCAATAATTTCATATAAACTATCCAAATTCTTTGGTTTTTTTGATTTTATGTCTTTCTCAACGTCATTCCATAGGTGCTCAATCGGATTTAAGTCCGGTGATTGAGAGGGCCACTTCATAACGTTGACATTGTTATTTTCCAAGAATCGTTTTGCTCTTTTTGAAGTATGTTTTGGATCATTATCGGCTTGAAAAATCCAATCTGCGGCAAGTTTTTCCTCTGCAAAGGGTAGTAAGTGGTTTTCAAGTATGCTGACGTAGACGTGTTGATCCATAATAGCATTTATTCGGCAAATTGGTCCAGGACCGTTGATTGTCATACCAGCCCAAACCATTACGGAACCACCTTTCCCTTTCACAGTCGGTTTTACGCACTTCTCGTTGAATTCTTCCCCGATTCTGCGTCTAACATATATTTTTCCATCCGATCCAAACCGGTTATATTTACTTTCATCAGTAAATATTACTTTTGACCATTGTTCCGTGGTCCAATTAACATGCTCCTTCGCAAACGCTAATCTTGCCTTTCGGTTTTTTATGGATATGTATGGTTTTTTACGAGCAACACGTCCATTCAAACCGAACTCTTTTAAACGACGCCGTACAGAATGGACACTAATTTTGCAATCCAGTTCCGGCGAAATTTCGGCATGAATATCCACAGCGGTCCGAAAACGATCAGCTTCCGAGAGACGGTGAATTTTTCTATCTATGCGATCAGAAGTTTTTCGTGGTCTTGGATGTCGAATTTTGTTAGTAAAGCTGGAGTTCACCTTTACGTATTTAATGGCTTGATGGCAAGCATTAATGGAAACTCCAACTATCTCGGATATTTCCTTGAGTGATTTATTTTCACCGCGTAAGCGCACAATTTCTTTGCGTTGAGCAGTCGTGATGTGTTTGCCTCGGCCCATGTCTGAATTAATACTGATTGATTATTTCAAATGGAAATTAAACATAAACAGTTACTTTAAGGTCATAACATAAAAGACAAATAGCAAAAAATATTGAAAGAAAACGGTTTCCCTATTTACGTGCTCGCTCCGTATGGGTCACTTTTAAATATTTTCCGTTATTCTGCGCCGACAATCAAAATTATTGTATTTGTTTCCTTAGTAAAAAAACATTTACTACCTGAAGAAGTTATTTTGTAAGCAAACAAAGGAAACAGGGTTTTGATACAGAATAAAACCTTTTTGTCTATTACGCACATTAAATTCCCTATTTGAATGCTCGCCACTGTATGTAAATACACATTTTAAATGGTTTTTAATAACCTTTAGAAGATTTCCTTGAGAATACGCGTATGCAATGTAATTTATAAAAGTACTGTCGCAATTATGGGATTTATAATTGCATATATGAAATGCATTTTTTACGTTAAGTAACTAAATTTTTTTGCGATGCAAATTTTTGTTGTCCCGTCATCTCGGTGTAATGAGAAAACTTCAATGTAATAGCTATATTTACATGTGGCCTGGCACAATAACATACAGAAGTAAGTACTTATTTTTCACTATACCTTCCATTAATCGGCTCAATTCTTTAACAGCCACATCTTTGACATCTGGTGTTTCACGCAATTCTTTTATGGCAACTTCCTTGGCACGTTCTGTTGCTTCGCCCAATTCGAATTGTAATGTGAATTCGCCCAATTGCACCGAGGGCAGTTCGGAAACTTCGGAAAGCATTGTTGGGACCCCTGTAGGAAAAAAATATTTTATGCGGTTAAATGTAAGTGCAATAATGGAATTATATACAGTACATGTAATAAAATAATAAAAAGTTATAAAATTATACATAATAATTTTACGAGGATGAGGCTTGAATTTTACTTTCATTGTACTTTGGCTTAAGCGAATCGATCTTCTTCCTATTTTTCTCTATAGCTATGTAGAAAATTATTATATGAAAGCTCCCTCCCCTCCAATATAAACGCATCAAATATCAGTTATAATGCCAGTCATTTAGATTCAGGGACTGTAAATACAAAGTGTTTTTTTCGATATCCTTTTTAATTTTTTTCTGAATTTTCCAGGACCTTTCGGAATCTGTTTAGGACTATCGAGATTGTCCTCAGATTTTTTGGAATTTTCTTGGCATGTTTCAACATTT